CGGGCCCCCAGCGTGCCCGGCTCCGGCCGCGGGGGAGCCCGGGCGGCTGCTTGCTAGGAAACGAGAGGCGGAGAGTCGGGGGCAGGTGCCTGCGCGGCACAAACCCGCGGGGCTGCCCGAGCTCCAGGGAAGGCGGCTTTAAAGCAGGAGGGAGGGAGGGAGGAAGGAAGGAGACACCAGAGCAGCCGCCTTGCCCCGGATCGCGTCCCTGCTTTCCCGTCTGCCGCTAATCCCCGACGGCATTAGGGAGAGTGGGGTTCGCCCCGGCCGTCGGGAGGGCAGAGGCTGCCTTTGCCCGGTGGAAACCACTTCCCTGCCCGCTCGCGGCACCTGGCGCGGGCGCCCTGGAGTTTTTAGCGATGCGATTGCGGCTCCCTCGCAGCCCAGTTGGAGACGCAGCCGGGGGCTTTTCCAGGGATTCCCCGCTGCTGTCCCCGAGCGAGCTGGAGCGGGGCACGCAGCCGCCGCGTTTACCTCTCTCCATTGTGGCAGCAGCCCTTTACTCAGGTGAAGCCTCCTCCCCACGGGGCAGCGCCCGGGGCGCCTTCCCCGAGAAGCTGATGCTTTTTTTTTTTTTTTTTTGAAAGAGAAAGAAACCTGAATAAGCGCTGAAGGCGCCCGCAGTGGGCAGTACTCCGCCACTTGCACCGGGTGCTTGATGCCGGGCTCTCTCTCTCCAACTTCTCCCCGTGCCCTTTCTCCCGCAGCCTCCTCCTTCTCCTCCTGCTGCTGCTTAGAGCACTCGAGTATTTATTTTCTCCCAATTAAGAAAGACAAGACAAGAAGAGTTAGATCGTGCGCATTCATTTTTGGCAACTTAAGTGCCTGAAAACAATCTCGACTATACACAATACAGGTTGTTGGGTCTGGCTTTGCCCCTCTCTGCGGGGGAGGGGGGAGCTGAGTTTATTTACACCCTTATGGAAATATGAACAGTTGGAAGGTTGGGTCTGATTCCCCTTTTGAGAAAGTCATTCAGGCGCCGCTGCTCTTACGGGCGAGCTGCTGAAAAGGGATTTGAACCTTACTGTAGAGAGTGAGAGAGTGTCCGCGCCGGGCTCCCCTCCTGCTTTCGTGGGGGCCAAATGGGGATAACTCCGCTCAAGTCAATGGAGGAAGCCGGCGGGAGAGTGCAAGAAGAACGGGGGCATGGTACGAAGGTGTCGCCCTTACTGCAAAACGTGATTATGGACCATTAGGTTGCCCCCAGATATATTTGGGGCGCTCATTACCTCCACACGGTAATTTCTAACATCAGCTGATAGATCCTGCCAATGTTTTGTGTGCACTTACGTTCTTTGGGGGCCTAATCCTGTTGCCACTGAAGTCAGTGGGAGCAGGGTTGGACCCTTTATAATTAGCTCTTCTCCCCCCCCC